TAGACGAGATTGTGGTCAGTTTTGGGCCCACGAACGAAGAGATTGCAGGCAAGGGAGTGCAAAAGACAGTGAAGGAAGAGCACAATGGAGTTGAGATAAGCCAAGTTTGATCGAGATATGATTAAGATCAGTAGTACTTCATTAACTAATTAGGTGCCTAAAATAGAGAAGGGCATGAGAGATGGAGGTGCAAATGTGAGCCCCTTCTCTCAAGTCTTAGTCTCTTAATTTTATTCCTTGTGAGCTTTTATTAATTAGCCTTGTGAAGGGGAAACTAGTTGTTGTTGTTAATTTCTCATGGGCTTTTAATGCTTATGATGTATTTCTTTCCGTTGTTAGTAAAATGTTACTTAATTATGCGTATGTGACAAACTTGGGTGATTGGTATATGTTTTTCTTATTGTGGTTGGTTGCAAGTCTAGAGGTAAGTGCTCGCATGATTAGGAAATAATTGTCAAGAAAATAAGATACTAAGACCATGGAGGAGAAGGAACGATAATTAATCAAAAGAAAGACTCAATGGTAATGAATGTTAGAAAAATAGTTTGTAATTACATTTTAAGTATTATGGAAAAAGATATGTTTCATGGGGAAGACCTTTATGTGCTTACCAATGAGTTCCATCCACGTATGCACCAAGTAAAAAATAATTATTTATAATACATATTATACGTGAATATCTTTTAAATATTAACAAACATATCTTACAGTAAAAACATAGTTGAAGCTAGTTACTAGACTATCATACATGCCAGATAGTGTCCGCTATAAAAGAAGTAGGAGAAAGATCATAATTTTTCAAGCACACTTGTCCATTATTTGATAGGCTGTTGTGATTCATTTAAATCTATAACTCAACATGTCGCCCATAGATTGTACACACATAGATTGTACACACGACAATCTAATAAATTAGAGTGATTGTAGTTAGATGTAACGATTTATATATCATTTATTCTTTGACAGTGAAGAAGATCCAAATCTAATATTCTTAATTAGTATCCGTTGAATATGGATCCTCTCCATCATTACGAAGTAATATTGAGACCACTACTACTTTTATATAAATGGCTATTATTTAATGAATGAAATGATGTTGAGTGTAATATAAAGAATATGTGATTAATCTTAGGGTCGGTTGGGGCGTGCTCATTCGTGCATGTTAGTAGATCAATTATCATGGATAGTACCGGTCCTTAGGGAGTGAGGAAAAATGTACCACTTGCAGAAGTTCTAGCCAAATCTGCTCCTTTCTATGATGTCTAGTTTGGATCTTCAATGTGTCTCCACATTGCCCGCCATCTTAGTAAGTCTCTGATACCCTCCTCTACTGTTGACGCTTCTTCTATGGTTTCTGATGTGGTGTAAAAATAGTGTCAAAATTTGTAATGATCGTAAATTTCTAATACGGGTTTCAATAAATTAAAAATTTTAGTATTTTAAATATTATTTTAAATGGGTATATTTTCCATGTGTTTTCCTCTCCCACCTGTGAACCATCTCTCTCATTTTCTCCCTCTCTCCTACCCCACTCCCTAAATCACTCCTCAATTCCCGCACACCCCTCACTTCACTGCCCCGCCCATCCCTCATCCGCTATCTCCCCCTCTCCTCTCGTACACACACACTCTCTCTCACTTCCTCAAAAACCACAATGCCCATCCCCTCCCTCATCTCGTTCTCTCTCTAAACCAAGCCCAAAGAAAACTCTCTCTCACTCTCATCTTAATCTCTCTTAGTTCACTCTCCATCTCTCCCTCCAAACTCATCAACTCCGAACCAAACTCCTCAGCTCGTCCCCACCTCAACGCTCGCCCTTGGCCAGATCTCCAACCATCGAGCTCTCCCTATGACCAACTTCGAATAGCAACGCCTCCTCTCTTCACTGCTGTGAGATCCTCTCGAGTTCCCCCTGCTCCGTCGCCATTCTCCAAGCTCCGCCATCAACCCCTGAGTTCACCGCCCCTCTTCCCTCCCGCTATTCACCGCCAACACCATCACCAAGCCCTCGAGCTCAGCTCCAAGCTCTGATGCCACGCCGTCGTCTCCGCCTGAACCCCTACCCTTTCTCAACCTCCGACGAACCCCACGACTACGCCGTCCATCTTCGAACTCACCCACAGCAGACCAGCCCAGCCACCTCACCTGAGCTCCCTCCCCCAAGCTCTGACCACCAACGATGCCATCATCATCACCAACTCCTCCACCTCTCTCTCTGCTCAACTGCGCCCCTGCTCGCCGTCGCTGAGCACTGACGAGTTCCATCAACCGTACCTCCTCTTTTAGCTCCTCAAACTTCCACCTCCACCTCATCTCACCAACAACCGGTGTTCCTCCACCTCCCAACCGTGCCACCAAGACCTTTGACCAACAACACCACTATCGCCTCCACCCACCAACCTCTCCCTCACCCCTCAGAGCCGACCTCAGTCAACACTGCCATTGTCCTCTTGTCATCATCGCTACCGTCGACCAACAACCAACGCCACCATCTTCAACCCCAATGCAAGATCTCGCTTCCCTTAACTTGTATTTCCATTATTTATATTTGTTATTAATTGATTGCATAGAATAGACTATGATATGTATAACCTGCATGGGATTGTTGACGAACGATACTATATAATATTGATTACTATTGTAGTAATATTCGTGAAGAGGGGTATGATATGTATTTTGAGTCGTATGTGATGAAAGGATACTTTGACAATTAGATTATAATTAATTATGAGATGTTTTTGAAAGAAAGAATATTTCTAAGGATTATTTTGAATCATTATAGTAATAAATAAGTTAAAATAGTTATTTTAAAAAAGGATTATTTTGAATTATTAAGAAATATTTTTAAAAGAATTTATTTTGGTATCAGAATTATTTTTAGATGATTATGCCAATTTGAAAAGAATTATTTTGAGAATGAAATCATTTTAGAATAATTACAAATAAATTAAAGGAATTTATTTTGAAAAAGGAATTATTTTAGATAAATTATAATTAGAAAATAAATTATTTTGGAAGAGGGAATATTAAAAAGAATATTTAAAGAATATTTTTAGAATTTTTTAAAAGGAGTTATTTTGGAAAATGGAATTATTTTTGGATAATTATAACAAGAAATAAATAATTTATTTTGGATAAAGAAATCATTTTTAAGAAAATAAATTTATTATTTTAAAATATTATTTTTGAAAACCTCGTGATTTGTGATTCTCATTTTAATTATGTGATATGCCATGATATCGTTACACATGATTGGTTGTATTTATTATTTCATGTTGTGTTTGAGAACCCCAAGTAGTTCATGACTTAGTGGCTTCGTGCGTCATGAACGGACTTAGTGACATGTTTGTGTGCGTTGACTAAGTTTAGGTGGTGAACTCGGGTTTCAATGAGGATTATGGTTAACTTAGAAAAACGAGAAGAGTTAGGATGGGGAAGTCCATGTTCGTGTGATCGGATATAGCTATTGATGTATCTTCAAGGTTCGCCCCATGATCCAGTGTATCTTGGGGTTAGTTTATTGTGCCAAAGTAAAGCCAGTGTAGTCACTTTGGTCCGTGAATTTGACATTCACCCGAGTTTATCTTGAGTTCGAACCAGGTTAAAATCGGATTACGTGTAGCCTTTTGACCGATCTAGTGTAGTGGCGTATTGGGTGCACGTAGGGGATTTGTGAACAGTTAGTTATCCGATGATATCGGTGTTGACTTTGTGTGAGATGTCGACCAGTGAGCTTTAGGATGGCTAGTATTCGACCCGGTTATCGTATGCATTTAGCTTTATGTTTATCATGTTTTAGTAGTGAATTTGCATGTTAATTTTGTTGGATTTCCAGTTGCACGTTTCTTTTTTTTTGGTAAATGAAAACATTTATTCATCAACCATTAAGAAGATATGTACACCTCAAGAATACTCAGCATATTCGTTACTGAGAACTCAAACTAAAACAAATACACTCCTCAAAAGATAACATGTCAAACCCAATTAGGGAGGGTTATTGAAAATGATAGTAGAGGCTTCAAACTTTATAATTTTGATCAAGTGATCAGCACTGCTAAACTTCTGCGTAAACAGCATTGCGTTCCTTTCTCTCCATATGCAGTAGATTGAAGTTGTTACGACTAATCTTTTAAGCTTGACTTGTAGAGTTTTCCCTCTCATACTTGAAAACCAGTTCCAAATCTGATTCCAGTTACAAGACTTCTTTTTGAAATTCATCCAATCCATGATTGAGTTCCATATGTAGGAGGAAAATATGCATTCGAAGAACAAATGATCTCTCGATTTAGTGTTATGTCCTGTGCATAGACAACACAGGTTTGTGCTGATTATACTTCTCTTCAGGAGTCTATCTTGTGTGAGAAGTCTGTTTTGAATCGCCAGTCAGCTAATGAAAGCATGTTTGGGCACATTAAGACCACCCCACACAGTTTTATACCATGGCACTGAGTTTGCAGCTGGGGACAAATTTTTGTATAATGTCGACAATATTGGCTTAGAATTCTTGCAGCTTGACATGATGAGAGACTTGACATTTTCAGCTCCTCCTAAATCTGCCATCACCTTATTTATTATTCTAAGTAATTGTTTCCACATCCATGAGTCTCCTGGTCTAGCTTCAACCTGTCATATATCATCATGTTTGAGATAATTTTCATGGATCCATTTTATCCAAAGAGATTCTTTGTTTGAATGAATGAACCATATACTTCTTAGAGCAGAAGCTGAATTCCATATTTGAGCTGAATAAATCCCCAGGCCTCCTTGTTTCATTCCTAAGCATACCTTATCCCAAGCTACAAGAGGCACCTTTGAAGAATGCTCATCTTTACCCCATAGGAATATCCTACATATTTCATCTATCCTGCGAAGAACTTTGACAGGAAGGATGTAGTTCGATGTCTAATAGATAATCACCCCAGAGATCACACTTTTTATTATTTGCAATCTTCCCGCATATGCCAGTATCCTGCGCTTTGTCTAGTTTTGCAGCTGCCTTGTGATTTTATCAAACAGGGGAAAGCAGTCATTGTAAGATAATCTTTTCGTAATTAGAGGAACTCCCAGATACTTAATAGGCATTGATCCCTCTGTAAATCCAAGAGTATTAGCAATTTCTCTTTTAACTGATTCATCTACTCCTCCATAGAAGATTGAGCATTTTTCAGTATTTGCTTCAAGTCCAGACATTTCACCAAATGATTTAAAGCACTGATAAAGTTTTTGCACAGAATAAGTTTCCCCTTTTGCAAATAATAATAAGTCATCTGCAAAAATCAGATGGGAGATCTAAAGTTTCTTGCATTTAGGATGAAACTTAAAACCCCTGTCATCCTTTAATTTGGTCAAGCTCCTAGACAGATAATCCATTCCCAGGATGAAGAGATAGGGAGAGAGTGGGTCACCCTGTCTCAGCCCACGTTCCCCTTTGAAGTAACCATGGAGTCCACCATTGAAAGAAATAGAATACTTAGGTGTTGTAATGCAGACCATTATCCAGTTAATCATGACTTCAAGGAACCCCAGACCAGTAAGAACAGATTGAATAAAACTCCAGCTTATAGAATCGAAAGCCTTCCTAATGTTAATATTGATCATGGCTCTTGGGGAGATATGTTTCCTGCTGTAGCTTTTAACAAACTCATGAGCTAGCATAATGTTGTTAGTTATATGCCTCCCTTGAACAAAAGCACTCTGTGCTTCATTCACTAAGCTTCCCATTACAGATTTTATTCTATTTGCAATAATTTTTGATATGAATTTGTAAATACAATTGCAACAAGAGATAGGTCTAAAATCTGCTGGGGTTTTTGGACATTGTACCTTTGGAATAAGAGTGAGTGAAGTTGTATTTACAGTCCCCAATAGCTTTCCAGTCCTGAAAAAAATTTAATGGCCAAAGTTACCTCAGCTCCAACAATATTCCATGCCGATTTAAAGAAAGAGACACTATATCCATCAGGCCCTGGTGATTTATCCTCAGACATAGAGAAGATTGTTGTTTTAATTTCCTCATCAGTAACTGGATTTGATAGCACATTGATTTGAGAATCATTGAGACAAGGGCCAGCTTTGATTATATTCATATCAGCTGGAAAAGTGCTAATTGCAGTTCCCAATAGATTTCTGTAGAATGACACTAATTCTTCCACAATAGCATCACCATCAGTGATCTTGTCCCCCCTGTTGTTATATAGGACCACAATTCTATTATTGTGCATATTTGACTTGGCTAAAGCATGAAAGAATCTGGTATTTCTATCCCCTTGCATACACCAAGCAATTCTGGCTTTTTGCTTGTAGAAGGATAATTCACAGTCTAGGAGTTTGTTATAAGAGCAATAACATTCTTTTTCCTTTCTAATAAG